CGCGGCCCCCCCCCCCCAGCCCGTGGCTTCAGAGGAATTTCCGTTTTCCTCGCACTTGAGGCTGACGTTTCTTGATTTCGTCGATCACCGTCTCCTGTCGGTCTGTCTCCTTCGGGGCTGGGAACGAAAAAACGCTATTCTGCAAGCTGTCCACTGTTGTGAACTCATCAAAAAACGTGCGCGCATGCGTGGATGTACCAATACAGGTAAGACGAAAAAAAACAAAAAAACGTACGGCACGAAACAACGGGAAAAAAATGTGTGCGTCGAAACTTTTTCCTGTCCCTGCATGCTGCTGTTAAACCTGCTCAAGCTGGACACAGTATAGTATAGGTGCGGAAAACACGGTTGAAAAAGCGGTTCTCAGCTTTGGGGAAATGTGCTCAACAATACACGGTGGAGCGCGGTCTAGCGGAAACAACAAACTTTCTGGACACGAAAAAATTGCGTTTTAAAAAAACACGTTATTATATCGGGTTTAATGAGCGCATTGCCCCGAGCGGTGCAGCCTCCCCCCCGACGCGTACCCTTTTCTTGCTGTCCGTGAGCACATCGAACCGCACCCCACAGCAGTCCCCGATGATGCACGGCCCCTTGACTACCAACTCCCGGTCCCCCTTCCGGCTGAGGATGTTGAGCTTGGGCGTGCAGCAGCCGCCGCAGCACGACTGCGTGACCCTCCCGATAACCTTCCCGTCCTCCTTGGGCCCGTGGAATACCGTAACGTTTTCGCGGCACGGTTCGCACCAGGCGCACGGGAAGAGCCGGAAGTGTCGCTGGAAGGCCAGGACCTGTTCGTTCGTGGTACAGAGTATGGTCGGGAGTAACAGAACAGATCGTGAGGAAGGAGTGTGTGCAATGTATGCAAGCAAGCGCAAACAACCGGCATGAAAATGACCACGAGTCGGGGGTCTCGTGCTTGCACAAAAATCGTGCGTCTGCTCGCTGAGCTGAGCTGCATCACCCACTGATGTAAGCACAAGCAACCCCGCGGTACGCCGGCGGTGCATCATGTGCTGCTTGCTGCCCCCTCCGCACAATAATACAATAATGTAGTAGAATGCTTCTCCTCCCCACGAGCGTTTCGATTGCCCATTCCTTAGTCCCTCCACACAAATAAAATACTTGTTAAGTACTCCTCGCCAATGATGTGTCGTTTGCTCTTTCCTCGCACCTGACTCCCTGTCTGGTCGTACACCTTCATGTGTACGGGCCGGAGTTGCGTGCAGCAGCAGCGCCAGCAGAAGCCCGTGTCCTCCACCGCTTGGTACACGTGCACTCCCGCCCGATTGCTGATCTTGTACCTGTGCATCATCGTCAAGTGCGATCGACCTCGCGTCAGAAAAAAATACTCCAGGAGGCCACGGGCGCACTCGGCAAAACAACACCGACGACGGATCTCACTGGGACAAGGAGATGACGCCATCAAAAGCAGTCACTAGCCTACCCACACATTTGACACGCATATCGGCAAGCAGTAGTTCTCCCAGCTGAAACAGTTCCGATCGAGCACACCTGCCTGTAGCTAGAGACAAACGCCGGAAATAGTGACTGACGGCCGACACGAGGAGGCGGCTACGGCACTCACTGGTTGTTGCCCTCGTATCCGATCCCCACTGCGTTGGCGATAGCCTCCAACGTTTCGACCTCCTGGTGCACCATCAACCCGTCCACCATCGCCAGAATCTGTGAAAAGGGGAGGGAGGAGGGGGGCAGGCCGCCAGGTCTGTGTGTAACTATTAAACATGTGAATGTCATGCGGCTTTCTTGTGAAGGCAGGCAGCCGAACAACCACACAAGGCTGCACCACCGACTCGGGACACCGAAGCTACATAGCAACTACCAACCTACTAGAGGCGACTCCACGACCAAACGCAGGACGACCCGACATCGACGAAAACACAGAACACGCATACCGTAGTCAGCCAAGCCGCTCGCTGCCCCCGACTCAACCCAACCCACGACCCCCCCCCAAAAAAAAAACTGCCAAACCCACCTCCAAACCCTTGGGGATGCCCTCGGGAAGCTCGTACCCGGCCGGCACGGCAAGCCACCCCTCCACCGGGGCGGGCGCCGGCGGCGGCTGCTCGGTAACGGCGCCCCCCCCCTTGTTCTTGCCCCCGCCGCCCTTCTTCTTCCCCTTCCCGGGAAGCGGGGGTAGCACCGGCCCGCCGAAGGAGCCCCCGGGGTTCCCGTAGCCCTGTCTGATGCCCGCGTAGTTACCCCCCCCCCCACCCCCGAACGCGCTGTTGTAGGTCGAGGCGAGGCCGGCCCCCAGACCGGCCCCCGCCAGGCCGGCCCCGGCCAGGACCCCTGCCGAGTTCCAGTATTCCCCTCCCCCGGCCCCCCGCTGCCCGGTCTGCCCAAACCCCGAGGAGCCGAACCCGGACTGCTGCGTCGACATCTGATTCGCGAAGCCTCCGTTGTTGTTGAATTGCTGCTGTGGCTGTTGGGCCCACGCCTGCTGCCCGCTCCCGTAGGCTTGCCCTCCGAAGCCCTGCTGCCCCTGGGTCGTCATGGCGCCACTGAAGCCGAACTGCGGCGGGTCCATGACGCCGTAAGGCGGGGGGTACTGCTGGCCGTTGAAGCCGGGAGTTCCTAGCGGAGTCGGCGGTCCGAACGTTCCGGGCGTTCCGAAACCGCCGGGGCTCGGCCCGAAGTCCATTGGCGTCCCTGGCGCGCCAAACCCTTGCTGCTGCTGCCCTGGAAACCTGCCTTGCTGCTGCTGGAACTCCGGCTGCTGCGCGAAGCTGTTGGTCGAAGTCCCGGCGAAAGAGTTGCTTCGGCCGAACCGGTTCTGCTGCTGCTGCTGCTGCTGCTGCTGGTCCGAGCCCCTCCTGCCGGCGAGGTGCGACATCCCGCCGAAACCTGCCGCCGTCGCAGCCGCCGCCGCCGCTTGGCCGAAGCCGCCCTGGTTGCCGAAGCCGCCCTGGTTGCCGAAGCCGCCCTGGTTGCCAAAGCCGTCGCTGCCGCCGCCGTTCCCGCCGCTTAGCATGGAAGACGCGCGCTCCAGCAAGCCGTCCAAGCCTCCGCGGCTTTGCGTCCTGCCGAAAGCTCCGGGCATTGTGTCGTCCATCGTCTGCTCTTTGCCGGATAGACTCGGGAGAGGGACGCCTTGTTGCTGGGCGTACTGCTGGGCGACCTTCGCCAGCTCGAGGCCCTGGTGGATAGGTCGAAGGTATTGGATGCGGTTAATTGAATTCATGGGCAACAACGTCAAGTAAACCCGCACCGTACTATTATATAGGATAGTAGAAGGACATGCGGACGTGAGACCAAATTGCCGGATCAAAGCGCAGACTCGATAACATGTACTGGCAATGTACACGCGTAGAGAGTGCGAATAGGAACGGGACAGTAGTGGCTGACGGCCCATGCACACGTGCCGCAACCCCCCCCGCCGCGCTCGTGTGCGGCGCACCGTAACCTACGCATAGCTGCTCGAAACATGTGGGGATGGGTGGGTGTGCACTCATGTCGCACGCCGTAGTCGTTACACCAATGACTTCGCATCCCTACAATGTCGGGACAGGCTTACGTTGCAACAAGGATAAACCACCCTCCGTTGCGATTGCTCTTGCCACACCAGATAATGCCGTATGAGTGGATTGGGCGAGCAGGGGGTGGATCTTCTCGGCCGCGACATCGAAAACCCAAAATAGCTACCAAGTTTAAAATGGCACTTGTGTGAGAAAAATTATCCCTTATGGGAAGTATGGGAGAGAGAACATAAGACCGCCGCAGCCAATAAGATTGCAGCATGCGGCAACCCGCCGGACGAGCAGGTCGCGCCTTCCATCACACTGCGATGTTACACCTAATGCTGCACAGGCCGACTGCCCCCCATGACCCACGAACGCGTTCGGAGGAGAGCGTTCAGTCGGAGACTTTTCCGGCCGTGATAAGTTTCGCGGGGATCACGAGCTTGCGCTTGGGTCGAGAAGTTGGAGGGCGCGGATTCTGCCGCAAGGCAGAATTGATGCGAGCGGCAAGAGTTGTGAAACCTTGGACCACGGCTGGTGCTGCACCGCTGTCGCCGGTTGTCTCTGCAGCTTGTTGGGTGTTGTCTACACCAACAACGCCCGTTGTACTAGTGGTGTCTGGTGCGTGCTTCGTTATGCAACAGCACAGTTTTCATCAGATCAAGGCACGCACGCGCTGGTTCCTCCTTGGCGCGTTATTGTTATTAGCAGGACACTGACGACCCACGAGCAAGCCAGCGCGGGTGCGACATTCCGACCGACTCTCTCCGCGACACACGCGTCGCAGACATAAAACCACTGTTTTGGACTATAACGAAAATATATTCTCGATTTCAGTCTAAAACCAAGTTGCGAGGTGATGGAAAACGGGGGTCCCCGGCAAAACAACGATGACACTCTTTGATGCCGCAACTGGGTAGCAAGGAAAATATCGTCCGGCTTGCACCAATACAACACCCACGTCCCCCACGCCTACTAAGGGCTGAAGGAGACGTGCATGTGTGGCGAAAGGAGTGCCGTTGCATCGGGCGGGGGTGGTGCTGTGCGGCAGGTTCAAATACGAAACAAAGTGCGCACAGGGGCAGAAAAAACGGGGCTGTGTCGTCGCTGTGCCTTGTAGCAGTCGTCCGAATGCATGAGGAAGACGGTAGGCCCACCTTTCTGATGTGTTTCATGTCTCCCAGCTTGGCCGCGAGCGAAGTGGCATTTTCCATGTTGCTGGTGCCTCTGCAGCGCAAGTAGGAGCAACCAAGGTAGGAATTTGCGCGAGTGAGCCAGGGGGCTGGCTGATGACAATCTGAATCTGAGGACCGGTCCTTGAAAGTGCGTTATGGTGGCTGGGGGACCGGGGACCGGGGTTACCGTGGTTAGGCCGCATTGACCGGTCCGTCACCCGCGAATTGCTTGTTGAGCCAGCAGCAGCCAGCAGCAGCGTTATTCAAACAACCTGCTGTAGGGCTCTGCTGCTCTGCTGCTCTGCTGCTCCCGACGCTCTGTCTCTTTGCTGGGTGCGTGTTTCTGTTCAGCACACCGATGAGAGCAGCAGCAGCCGGGCATCGTCATGGAGATTGCAGAGGACAGAGCGCCGAACGCAGGGGCGGAGATCACAGCGCTCTTGAGAAGGAATGTCATTGTAAGCTTTTTGCCGTACCGCTGCTGCTGTGGTGCATGTAGCATGCGAGGGGTCTCATTCCTGTGCGTTGGGGGCATGGGCCTATAGCAATCGGCCTGCCCGTACGTGTTAAATTTTCTTGTCGTCATCCCCGTTGTTGTACCTGGTACTGCTGTATAGACGCCCGTGGAAAATTCTTCTGGCACTGGACAGCAGTATACAGATGTACATGAAGTGTGGTTGTACCTGCGGCGTTGGTTTCATCCCGCGGCCGTTTGAGCTCCACCCGCTGTAGTAGAGTGTGCATTTCTGCATCACCGCGTGCAGCTTGTTCGTCCCTCAAACCCTTCCCTCGACTGAGTATAGGGAGAGAGCAAGGAGCCAAGCCCGAAACCATGGCCATCTGTTGATCGTCTGCCGCGTGGACGTACAAATCAAGGAAGTACCATATCCTACAACCCCCGCCCCCCAGCTGAATAATTTGTCCGCCCGTTATTTTTCATGCCTGATGTCGGGTGCCTTGCTTTGCAAATCTTGTCCAAAGGAGCGTCGGAGAACGAAGAGCACCACCTTCTGCGAGCTTTGCAGTCCTGTGCTTCTCCTGTGCGTTCTAGTCTACGGCTACTATTTATCGGATGTGCTAGTTTTCCCAGAGAAGGTGGGTCGGGGTGTGCGTCAGCAAGTCTCGTTACGGGTGTATCTGACCGGTGCTGTAGTCCATGATCTATCCAGTATGTACGTCGCTTGGCGTTACGCTTTTACTGCTGCTGTGTGCGACAGATGGATGTTGTTGGTCCTGCAGACGTCATTACATTTTTTTACTTGTGCTGTACGGACGCCAAAAAACAATGGTGGGAGATAATTCTCTGATCTGGGTGGTTGATGCTGCTGTAAGTTTTCGCAAGGTGGATGCGGCTTCGAAGGTACCCCCACGCGGCGTGTCACGCGTGGTTCGGTAATCAACCACTGCTGTAGTGCACTGGTGGCTCGAACATACTCGACGGCAGGCTCGAACACACTCGACGGCATTTTACACGTGCTTCAATGCTTTGCGACTCGTTGGTCATTTAACTCTTGAGTCCCATTCTAGGGGGGCTGTCCGTTTGACGTACTACTGTACGGCGGCGAGGTGGTTTTCATGAAGATTTTCCTCACTACTGCTGTAGATGAGCTTTACGGAGACCTACCCCTCGCGGCACATTATCACACGGCAGAGCCGTTGCTCTTGCCTTCGGTGCTTTCCACGCCATTTTCCGGGCGGCGTATGCTCGTCACGCAGACACTCAAGGACGTTGTAGGGAAAATATCAGATCGGTTGTGGATGTCGGAGAAAGTCCAAGGGTCCAAATACCACCGCCGCGGGGATCTGCGAAAGGAAATAGGTCGTCATGATACCCACACCTTCACGCTGACAGCTCAGATGGTATCTTGGTCCAAGGGTCCAAATACCACCGCCGCGGGGATCTGCGAAAGAGCCCCCAAAAATAATTACTTCAAGGTCTCGCATCACCCTTGCTCGCTGTGTAGATGCTCCTGTCCGACCGTCCAACGAAAGCCGCGAGTGCATGCTGACGCGCCATTTTGCCCTACGATCCAAGGTGTATTCTTCTGTTCGGCTAGACCTTCCTGGAGGCTTCGGCAGGCTGCTGCCATTGGCCCGCCTCTACAGCCAGGTAGTCAAGGGGTACATTGGGACAGCTGGGTTGTTTTGGGGGTTTACCTCCTCCTCCTCCTTAAGTTCATTTTTTCCCGAGAGTTTCCGCTCCGCAGGGTGTGAGGGAGCCTCTATAATAGCAATGCATCGGTGTCCGAGCAGGTCCTCCTAAGAGTCGGCCTAATGGCGTCGGTTTCACTTTGTATATATCAGTTTCAGCGGCAATCGATTTAATGCCCGCCTTCGCATTTCTGGAAACGCTTCCATGTGTTGCCTATTGAGCTTGTACGGTCCGTCAGAGCTGAAACACGCTCGCAGTCCAAGCGTTGATCCCCCCCCCTCCCCCTTCTCGTATCGAACCGCTCTACGACGCGCGTTGTGCACCGTGCGCCGTCTTCGTATTAGAACCTAGCGAATACTAGCCTGCCAGCTGTCGGGCCTTCGAGCGCAACCGTCGGCGGTGGGGCAGCCCCCAATTCTACCGTCGATGCCGACGAAGGCATGGGCGGCTTGGACGGTAGCGGCGACGCGGACGGGCTGGCGTTTGGGGACGTGAGAGACATCTTCAAGGAGATGACCGGCCTGTTAGACGGTCCTTGTCCGGTGCCGGACCTTGATCAGTTTGTCGGGCTTGGGACGGCCGTAGTCCGAGATCTAGCTGATAATGCCTACGCCTCGGTGGTCAATAGCATGGAGTCCGGGTGGGTGTTTGGTAACTTGATCACCCAAGGGACTCTGCACTTCGCTCCTGCGCGAGAGCCGGCTGTGGGGTGAGTCGTGTCGGCGTTTATGACACGGGGATGGTGCTACGTAGAGGACATAGTGTGGCTCCTTCCCTGCCTGCGTAAGGCTTTCGTTTCATCTCTTGCGATATATACCCCGCGCAACTTGTTGCGCGTTTTACGGACGGACGTGTACAGCTGTGCATTTGTTTGTCACGCGCTAACGTATGGAATGTGCGCGTGCTCCCCGTTTGTCGTTCCGTGCGCTTGCGCAGCGAACTGGTGTCTTGGCTGTCAAACACGTCCACTGGGTTCGGCCGTTTGACTCATCGCGTCCACGAATCAGAGGTAGGAGAGTCGCAGCAGCATGCCGCTCCGTCAACGAGCTTCATAGCTGATCGTTCAATGGAGGTAGTTGGGCAATGTAGTACAGAGCAGCAGGCTTGCACGCCAATGAATCAGATGTAAGAGTACCACGCCATGACGTTGTGTCAGAGAGCTATCTTGATTACATAGCCTCCAATTCGTCAACGCCAACGGGGCAATATCGTACAGAGGCATACTTGAAGCAGTGGCGCCCATTCGCCCTTCTGCTGTATGCCTAACTTACGTGCTCCAAGTCGTCACACCGGATCGAACGCTGCGGCGACCCGCAACGTCGGGATTTTTCGTCACACAGGATGATGCCGTCGCCTACGCCTTGGATCACCTCGAGGAGAGGACGTGGGCGGTCATCTCGCTCGACGAGGTGGCCGACGGGAGGGTCGATTATACCATCCGCGTCAACTTCACAACGGTCCCCAACACCAACACCGTCGTCGACATGATCGCGATCGGGTTGGATCCGAGGTAGGTCGGACACTTTCCTGGTGGGTCGGTGAGATATCAGGGAGGTGATGCTTGTTCACGCGTTTTCTTGTCCGGCCGCTACTTTTTTTACTTCCCGCGTTGTTATGGGTGGCGCTGCCTCGTTTTGAACGTCACTTGCAGAAGGACTCTTCAAGACAGACGTACGGTTGATTTCGATTGCTTTTTGTTGGATGGTGTTGTACCTAAACGACACATTTTGCCAGCGAACCTGAGAAAAACGCCAGTCGGGCACATGAGCTATGAACGCTCTAGCGAGGGGTTGAAGAATTCGCGCCTCCTGAAACTTGGACCGCGGGCGGCTGGCTTGCCTTGAACGCCGACCCCGTTGGTATAATGCCCACCCGTACCCCCGCCCGTTCGTACCCCACCCACGGCGCCCCTCCCCCAAACCACTGGATACAGCTTTCGGTCGTACTACCTGAGCGGGTTTCTCACGCTACAGGCAACGCTCGACCGATTCATGTTCGACCGCGCGTTGCCGGCCGCATCATCACCCTCCGGGGAAAAACAATCCGAGGAAGGGTCCGAGGAACCATCCGGCGGTTTCGCGTGCGTCCCGCCCGACGTCGTTGGGGTGCCCTTTCCCACGGCAGCGTACGACCAGAACTTGTTCTACGCCGCCGTTGGTTATCTCTTGGGACTCGCCATGACCATGGTAAGTACCCCGGCCGGGTTGATGACCCGCTCGATGCGACCATGGTGCCCCGCGCTAGTTTTCTCGCCGACTGCTCCCTCCCGTGAAAGCTTGAAGCCAGCGACTGTTTCACCGTTTGCATGTTTCTTACTTTGCCCACAATTGGGAAAACTGTTTAGTTTAGTTTAGTTCTGTTTTTGTGGGGGGGGACGGCGGCAGACATTGTCAGGCAGCACGGCTTGATCGTACCCAGTGCTCTACTCGTGCAACCGCATGCCGCTCGAGTTCCATCATTTGGATGTGTGCTTGCTTGATTACAGCCATGTCGCTCACACTCACCCCGACGGCTTCTTCCGGGTGGACAGTGGTGATAACCGTGTCGCTGCTGCCCCGTACTGTTCGCGCCACTCGTCTCCAGAGCACGATGTATCCGCTGTCTCGGCTGGTGAAGGGAATCGTGGAGGAGAAGGAGAGCAGGGTGAGCTGAAAGGGGTATGCATCAAACGACTTGAACGTTGTTGCCATACAGCGCCGACCCTCTTTTAAGAGATATGTTCGTAATGTAAGAAACCGGGGCTCAGGTTTTGGACAAACGTACGAAAATTGCCGAAGAAAGGTTGAGCATAGCCACCGGCGCTACTTCAACTCCTATTTAGAAGCCTTTTGCTCCCTGGTGGGGACAAACACTTGGTATTGTTTGGGTGTTTCTTATCAGCGGGCCGGCACTGTAGCCTTCTTAGGTGGGCGATGAGCAACAGTTCGACCCAGAGATCATGGTGAGCGTTGATGCATGCCACTAGACAAACAAAATCTGTTGGCGGGGGTGGGGGGTGGGTGGGTGGGTAAAGCCACAAGCTACACTAACACCTGAGGCGAACCCAAGGCCGTAACGAAATCGTGGCTTCGTGCGGCGCAATCGAACCATGCAAATATGATGCCGAACCTCTGTGTCCGCCGCCGCCTCCCTCTCTCTCCCCCGGCCCATCGCAATAACAGGTGCGTGAGACGATGCGCATCATGGGCCTCCGGGTGTGGTGCCACGAGCTGTCCTGGCTCATCACTGGAGCCGCGGTGTTCGCCTTCATCGCTGTCACGGTGGCCGCGCTGCTGTCGTGGACCTTCCTACCCCTGGCGGACGGGACTCTTGTGCTGGTCTACATGGCCTCCTTCACGCTCAGCGAGGTCGGCATGGCGCTCTTGGTGTCGTCTGTGTTTTCGAAGGTGAAGGACGTGGTTGGTTGTTGTTCTTGGTTGAGAAGGAGCTTTATTCCATTTTGGTTTTCGAGGGGGGGGGGTTGTATGGGAATGGGGCGTGTGACTATCATCCGAACGTGAGGTCGGCATGGTGCTCTTCGTGGCCTCGTTGTTGTTGTTTTTTTTAGAAAGTAAGCGAAGGAAAAATATTTCTTGCGTAACCACTTGAGAGTTCAAGCACGGGCAGAATCAACAGCCTTGTGCTCGTGCGGGTGTGGTGCTCAAGCTCGGCACGTGCGCAGGTATGGTTCCCTTTGCATACACCAATCACAGGGTGACGTCTGTGTGGTTATTCGTGTTTGTTTACACCTCCGACCGCCTCCCCCCCCTGACGCGCGTATAAACTTGATGCTGCCGCCGAAAAAAATCATAATAGGCGAAGCTAGCGTCGATTGCGGCACCGTGCGTGTTGTTCGCCGGCGTCCTCCCGAGGTACATCTTCTACGGGTCCAACAGACACGAGGCCCCACGGTGCGTCAAACCCCTCACAACGCTGTCACTATAGATGCCGAGAAGAGTAGAGAGTGCAGGGTCTCTCCTCGTTTGGAGCCTCATGCAGCACCACGCAACAGCAGTGCGGGCCCGCAGTTCAGAAAAAATGCACTATAATAGCCTCGGCTCAAGTGTTCGCGAAAAAAAAGGTTGGGCAGCAAAGCTTCAGCCAGGGATCCTAACCTGTATACTAACCTGTATTTACTCCAAGGTGGGCAATAGATGTACTAAATTGAGCCTCCACCTGATACCGACTTCTCTTAATCTCCGGGCCCCTACTGTAGTATACATATGAAATCGGTCCAGGGCGTGTGTTATCTTGTGTCATACTCCAGATGTATACGGTAGGTACGCCTGTGCGACTGGGCCTGCGAACCCATGTTGCCGTTGTAGGTTGCCGTGGTTGCTGGCACCTGCAGCAATCTACGCATTTTCTCGCGCGCACGCGGTGCTAACTTACACCTTTACGACGACGAGACGACGTTGACTGGCTCGTTCTCGTGTCCTTTTCGACGGGGGATAGATCGAAGACGGTCGCATCTTTACTGTCCCCGGCGGCCTTCACCTTCGGCGCGGACTTCATCGCGGACTACGAGTACGCGGGCATCGGGGCCGGGTGGGGGAACTACGACGAGGGCGACTACTCTCTCCGCACCTCCATCGCCATGATGTTATTCGACGCGGTGCTGTACGGCCTCCTCGCATGGTACCTGGACAAGGTATATTCTAGCGCTTTAGCTGCAGTGTGAGACCTTCCTATTTTCCGGTTAGCCACTTTTCCTGACAAGAGTTAATAGACTTGATGTCAAAAGTCATAAATCTATGTAGACGTGGAAGTGTCGTACGCCCTTCTCTGCGGCAATGACTGACGTCAGGTAAATGCTGTGATGAGTTTGTGGCTTCTTGCTTTGTTACTGCTGTCATATGCTATGTAGACGTGAAGTGTCGCATGCCCTTCTCTGCTGTCGCTCAGGTTGTAGACGCCACGGGCCTGATTCGGGGCCATAGGCTACGGCAAGGGCCTCTCCTCCCTGCCTGTCTCTGCACTCTTTCCTTGCCTTTCGTTTTGTGCTGCCCGACCCTCCCTCTCGCCCGTACACTCTGGCGTTGGGTCAATCACGCGTCTCGCAAGGGTGGTATTTTGTTGAAGATGAAGGTTTGGAACCACGGGTGTAGCTCAGGTCGCACGGGACTGCCTTGAGCCGTTATTGGTGTTCCTACTGTGGCACGCTCGAGCCACGTGCCGTTATTCGTTGCGTGATTTCATTTTTCTTGTTTATTTCAGTGGGTGACGTTGTGTGTGTGGTGTGTAGACGGGTACAGACAGGCAGCTTTGCTTCATCGTCACACACCCTCCCCTTTTCTTTCGTTCATCTCTGAGCCTCGTGTCCGAAGCCGCCGCAAGCGTAGCCGCAAGAAATCGAATCCAATCATCGCTCAAGCGTGACTCCGCACATCAGCCCAGCCGGATTGCGTACACCCCTGAAAGCGTCCCCCCCCCCCCTATACCAATGGAATAGGGAATAACAGTTTTAGCCACCTTTGACAAAATAGGTTTGGCCATCGGTGATTGGCCCCCAACGATGCTCCGTCCTCCCGAGGACGCGTGGTCAATGGTCTAACAGCTGAAGCATGTATAACGTGAGTACGCCCCCCCCCCCCCCCCCCCCCCCCCCCCCCCCCCCCCCCCCCCCCCCCCCCCCCCCCCCCCCCCC